TGTGTGCAGGCTCTGGGATGGGCAGGCCCAGGAGTGCGCAGACAGAGGAGTGTGCAGGCCCAGGACGGTTCATTATCAGGAGTGTGCAGGCCCATTAGTGTGCAGGCCCAGTCCAGGGCAGGCCCAGGAGTGTACAGGTCCAAAAGTGTGCAGGCCCTGGAGTGTGCAGGACAGGTGAGGGCCGGCACAGCAGAGGCCTGGGCCAAATAGGGCAGGCCCAGGGGTGTTCAGGCCCAAGATTGTGCATGTCCAGGGTGTGCAGACCCATGAGCGTGCAGACAGAGGAGGGTGCAGGCCCAGGAGTGTACAGGAGCAGGTTCGTGCCGGCCCAGGTGTGTGCAGGCCCGGAGTGTGCAGTCCCAGAGGTGTGCAGACCCAAGACGGAACAGGCCAAGGGGTGTGCAGACCAAGGAGTGTGCAGACCCAAGTCTGTGCAGGCCCTGGAGTGTGCAGGCCCAGAGGTGTGCAGACACAAGACGGAAGAGGCCCAGAAGTGTGCAGGCCAAGGAGTTTGCAGACCCAGGACTGTGCATTCCCAGGAGTGTCAGACACGGGGGGGAACAGGCAGACAAGTGTACTGGCCCAGGAATGTAGAGGCCCAGGTGTGTGCAGGCTCTGGGATGCACAACCCCAGGAGTGTGCAGGCCCAGGAGTGTGCAGGCCCAAGAGTGTGCAGGTCCAGGAGAGGGCCGGCCGAATGGGGGCAGGCCCAGGAGAGGAAAGGCCCAGGAGCGTGCAGGCTCAGGAGTATGCAGACAGAGGAGGGTGCAGGCCAAGGCCAGGGCAGGCCCAGGAGTGTGCAGGCCCAGGTTCGTGCCGGCCCAGGTGTGTGCAGGCCCTGGTGTGTGCAGTCCCAGAGGTGTGCAGACACAAGACGGAACAGGCCTAGGAGTGTACAGGCCAAGGAGTGTGCAGACTCAGGACTGTGCAGTCTCAGGAGTGTGCAGACACGGGGTGGAGCAGGCAGACGAGTGTACTGGCCCAGGAATGTAAAAGCCCAGGTGTGTGCAGGCTCTGGGATGCGCAGCCCCATGAGTGTGCAGGCCCATGATTGTGCAGACACCAGAGTGTGCAGAGACAGGAGTATACAAGCCCAGGAATGTACAGGCCCAGGAGTGTGCAGACATAGGAGGGTGCAGGCCCAGGCCAGGGCAGGCCCAGGAGTGTACAGTCCCAGGTTCTTGCCGGCCCAGGTGTGTGCAGGCCCTGGAGTGTGCAGTCCCAGAGTTTTGCAGACACAAGACGGAGCAGGCCTAGGAGTGTGCCGGCCAAGGAGTGTGCAGACCCAGGACTGTGCACTCTCAGGAGTGTGCAGACACGGGGTGGAGCAGACACTCAAGTATACTGGCTCAGGAGTGTAGAGGCCCAGGTGTGTGCAGGCTCTGGGATGAGCAGGCCCAGGAGTGTCCGACAGAGGAGTGTGCAGGCACAGGAGGGTGCGGGCACAGGAGCGTGCAGTCCCAGGGGTGTGCCAGGCCCAGGGGTGTACAGGCACAAGACTGTGCAGGCCCAGGAGTGTGCAGACACCTGAATGTGCAGAGACAGGAGTGTGCAGCCCCAGGAGTGTACAGGCCTAGGGCTGTGCAGGCCCTGGAGTGTGCAGCCCCAGGAGTGTAAAGGCCCAGGTTCGTGCTGGCCCAAGTGTGTGCACGCCCTGGAGTGTGCAGTCCCAGAGGTGTGCAGACACAAGACGGAACAGGCCTTGGAGTGTGCAGGCCCAAGAGTGTGCAGGACCAGGAGAGGTCCGGCCGAATTGGGGGCAGGCCCAGGAGAGGAAAGGCACAGGAGCGTTCAGGCCCAGGAGTGTGCAGGACAGGTGAGGGACGTCACAGGAGAGGGCAGGGCCAAATGAGGCAGGCCCAGGAGTGTGCAGACACCAGAGTGTGCAGATACAGGGGTGTGCAGCCCCAGGAGTGTACAGGCCCAGGTTTGTGCAGGCCCAGGAGTGTGCAGGCACAGGAGTGTGCTGTCCCAGGAGTGTGCCAGCACAGGTGGGAACAGGCCTAGGAGTGTGCAGGCCCAGGCCAGGGAAGGTCCAGGCCAGGGAAGGTCTTGGAGTGTACAGGTCCAGGTGTGTGCAGGCCCAGGTTTGTGCAGACAGAGAAGTGTGCAGGCCCACTTGGGTGCAGGCCCAGGCCATGTCAGGCCCAGGAGTGTACAGGCACAGGAGTGTGCAGGCCCAGGCCAGGGAAGGCCCAGGCCAGGGAAGGTCCAGGAGTGTACAGGTCCAGATGTGTGCAGGCCTAGGAGTGTGCAGACAGAGGAGTGTGCAGGCCCAGTAGGGTGCAGGACCAGGCCAGGGCAGGCCCAGGAGTGTACAGGCCTTGGGCTGTGCAGGCCCACGGAGTGTGCAGGCCCTGGAGTGTGCAGTCCCAGAGGTGTGCAGACCCAAGACGGAACGAGGCCTAAGAGTGTACAGGCCAAGGAGTGTGCAGACCCAGGACTGTGCAGTCTCAGGTGTGTGCAGACACGGGGTGGAGCAGACACTCGAGTGTACTGGCCCAGAGTTGTAGAGGCCCAGGTGTGTGCAGGCCTGGGAAGAGCAGGCCCAGGAGTGTACAGGCCCTGGAGTGTGCAGACAGAGGAGTGTGCAGGCCCTGTAGGGTGCAGGCCCAGGCCAGGGCAGGCCCAGGGGTGTACAGGCACAAGACTGTGCAGGCCCAGGAGTGTGCAGACACCAGAATGTGCAGACAGGAGTGTGCAGCCCCAGGAGTGTGCAGGCCTAGGGCTGTGCAGACCCAGGAGTGTGCTGGCCCTGGAGTGTCAGGCCCAGGTTCGTGCCGGCCCAGGTGTGTGCAGGCCCTGAATTGTACAGAGAGAGGAGTGTGCAGGCCCGGTAGGGTGCAGGCCCAGGCCAGGGCAGGACCAGCAGTGTACAGGCCTTGGGCTGTGCAGGCCCAGGAGTGTGCAGGCCCTGGAGTGGGCAGCCCCAGGAGTGTAAAGGCCCAGGTTCGTGCC